TTTATATCCTGTTCATAGCCTGTACACACTTATAGCATATTAATAACATACCTTCATACCGTGTACATTGCAACAAACCCATAATAGACCCATATATTCTATTCTATTCTATTCTATTAATTAAAGGCACATAATCTCCCAGCTGTGTGTCACACAGTTCAGCTTAACATCTGGAGATGAAGCGAGTGTGAAATGTCTGCTGTCGGGGTCGAGTTGAATCCAAACTGCAGATACACACATGCAGACGCACGATTGGTCACAGTCGCTCACCAGGACAACGAGTCGTAATCGTCATAAGTTAGAGCTGCTTCCACGATGCAGGAGCTGCAGTGAGTCACCGTTTGGATAAAGTCAGTTTCACTTTCCCTGCTGCTTCTCTCTTCTCTTTGATTAGAGCATCAAAAAGCAGATGTTTGCTGTTTTACACGAATAATGGAGACAGCTCTGAGCCTGAGCTGTGGCTGCAGCCTGTCTGAGTACCTGACTGCCTCCTGGTGCGTCGGTACGGCAGGTTTCCCTCCAGCAGCAGAGGCAGGTTCTTCCTGGACTTCTCCGGCGTGTACATGAGCAGCTCTGGAGGCTCTGCAGGGACAAACAGAGCAGAACCAGACCCTCGTGTTAGGGTTGAATTCAAACTGTCCCGTTCCTGGTGTGATAGACTACATGACTGTGAGCTGCCTTCAAGTTAAGGTACACAAAAGTTGATAATATTATCAAAAGGTTTCTCAAACAGTTAAGACGAGGTGATCGGGTCTGTCATTTGGAACAGACACAAACCAGAAAACATGAATCCTTTTAATATGTGACGACAGACAAGTGGAAAGAATTTATAACGCTCCACAAGTAACTCGGAACTAACGAGCCAGTTTAGTCACATGACTGAATTAAAAAGAGCGTCCCAGCGAGGCTGGACGAGGTCAGGCTGTCAGACTGATGGGAGGAAGACGAAGGAGCTTCGTCAGCTGCAGACTGGGGAACAAAAGGCTCGACTCAGGTAACAATGTCGACGTGAAGACGTTTTATTTCAGCCCACTGCAGGATATCTACTTAGCACTTTTAATTTTAATTTTTATGTTTAACCCTTTAAGACCTACCATAAACCAAGTCCGCCAGAGCTTATATTATATTTTTACATGCTGTGGAGCCATTTTTGGGAGCATTTCAAGTTGCTATACATCAATACAACCATTA